TTGAGTGAACAAAGTTTACAACAGAAGTATTCGTATTAACACGATACTAARAAAAATCKAAGAAATTTTTGCWAGGCTCATAGTTTATTATTGTATAATGTGTTATACTTATGAGCTGTAATTAAATTATAATTTTTTTTTTTAATGTATTATCTTCAATCGATTGTGTTTAATTTTTAATCAACAGGAACACAGTGAAATGTTGAGTTCGATAGCAAGCAGTTTTARCATATTAAATGACTAAGTTAATAATTCATAGTAGGTATATTGACAAATTATAAATTGAGCAATGGTTTTCTCATTTTAATTGTATATAAAATAAAATTACAATATAAATTTAAAATATAAATCTAAAACTCTATCAAATTTAATTTTTAATAAAAACCATATAACACCAGAGTGTTGAATTAAAATTTAATTAAAATGGCAGTGATCAATATTGTTACTTGTTATTTGCATTTTATTGCGTTCGGTACATAGAGAATTTATTATAGAATGGCATTTTATTAGCTTTATCGTTATTTATTACATTTTGAGGTAATTAACTACTACATATTTAAAATTAAATAATACATTTTAATGGTTAAAGGTCGACCAATTTATCGGGACAGTAATATATAGATATATGTTAACACAATATTTAGTTCAAATACAGGGGTGAATAAACGCGTCAACAACTTCTTTTTAGTGCGCGGAGTATAAATAATGTGTTAGATAAGATAATAATATCGCATATATGTGTAATGGCATACGTTTATTGTATTATCTATGGCTAAATGCCAATTTCTAAAGGTTACCGATATTGTTCAGGACTTTAGGTATTTTGCACAAGGAATACGTTTGTGGTTCAACTATTCACCGGGAACAGATATATATGTATAGATATTCACGATATAATAACGGCCAAGAAATAACCAAAGTCTGAAATTCGTGTAAATTGTAAAATACTCCATAATCCCTACTAACATAGAGTTGTAGCTATTTGAAGCAGTGCATTGGTGTTTGATTTCATTATAAAAAAAAGTAGTGACGAGATAATGTCACAGCACGATCTGAATAGAGAATCCTTAATGAAAATCAATGTTTGACGGTACCAATAGCAAACCAAAATGTACTGTCATAATAATGACGCGACGTTCATAAGCAACTTAAAAATATGTATGAATAACTGAGTGATAATTAAGTATGTCGCCAAATGTAACATAAAACTCTCTATGACTATATTACAAGATAACAATAATGTTACCAAYACTTATTGTCTTTAAGTGGTGTCGATATCATCAATAGCTATATAGAAATGTGTGAGTTGTAAATGTTAACTGTCTCATAAAATATTTTTTGTATAGTATAAAAAATATATAAACAAAGGATGATTCGAAAGTCAAGACATCCCAAAGTTTCACTGTTTCACTTCTTAAGTATATTATCTTTGTGAGGCCACAACATATAAATATATTTAAATCTCGTTATTTTCGCGTAAAGAAAACTGTAATTCGATGATTAACGCGGATAACTGTTGGAAAAACAACAGTTTTATGTCATAATATAGATTTACCGTCATAGTAGTAAAATCAAACTTTAAGTCTATTATAGGTATACAAGATAAAGTAATATTACCAACAATTTTGATTAAGTATTGTAGATGCCATCAAGCTATACATATATATTTTAGTATATTTAGATATGTTATAGAGTTTTTTACTGAGATGTTAACGGTCTTACTAAATACGTACTTTTAACAGTATTTTTAAATGTCCTATACTATTTCTATGAGGTCGTGATAAGTTAAAATATTTATACGCCGGTTTTTTAACGGTGTAAAAAGATTGTAATCTAATGGAATACATTGTTTATGGAAAAATCACTGTTAACTAAATATAATTATCATAATATTGAGTTGCCGCTGAGATAATTATAACGATGCGCTGGTCCACATAAAATTATATACCTATCGGCAGAATTATGTGTATCACAAACTGACAATAAAAGAGTGCTATACTCAGTGAAGACAAAACACGGAACATTTTTTTTTAAAACCTAATATTGACGTCCCGACTCTTAAAGTAATTTATATTATTTCACATATTTTTTTTTTATTTTTTATTTATTATTGTTACGATATTGTTATGATGCTACCGAACGAGTGCGAAGACGTCGGGTGGAAAATAAAAAGAAAAAACAATGGAGTCGGTATAGTAACCGACGTATCTCTCTTTTATCTCTCTTACTCCCACTCAAACTTGACTGAATCTGAAGCGACAAAAATATTAATAAAATATTCTTGGCTTCAATAATTAAACAGGGAGAGTCAGGCGGGCGTGAGCTTACTTAATATTCCTACGGCGGTGTGAGGTCGATTAAAAACATGACCGAGGGTATTTTGGCAAAGCCATAAATGAACTAGGGAAGGAGGACTGGTTTTTAGCCAAGAAGCTGTCATCGCCAGTCCCTTAACCACTTTCTCGGCCAAATAAATACAAATACAATAATATATATATAATAAATATATAAATATTAAAACAAACTTTCTCTTATTTGCCCAAAATTTTGTTCACAAGCTTCACTCTCTTATCCGCCACGACCATATAAAAACAAATCTGCGAAAAACTGATAAATCGATAAAAATAAAAAATAATAATTTATTTTATTTGAGTGGCTTATAAAAATACACAATCACCAGCTTTCGGCATTGCCAGCGGTATCAAAAAATATTCTGTGTTATTGTAATATAGAGATTTTTATTCATTATAAAACGCATTCATAATTTTAATACGGCAGTGAACTCCCCGCGGACGATGACACGAATAAAAACAATTCAAAATTCCATTTTATTAGCATAGCATTGGAATAAAAAAACTTTTTTTTTATGATGTTTAAATGCAGTCAAACTGTGATTAAAATACGCGAAAGAAAAAATATAATTTATAACTTTTAATTCKTAGTTTCGAAATAAAATCATAACTTTTAATTATTCCCGTATTAAGTGTTTGTAATTTATTGTTTACCATTACCTACTGTAATATTATAACATCAAGAATATCACCACAAYAATTCTGCAATATTTAAGTAGGCATATTGTGATGCTTATTGAGCGGGCACTATTTATATTTCAACGAAACTGTTTTGATACGATTTAGTTATTAACATTTAGGTAAATTGTATTTATCAAACATATTTCACTTAAACAAAATAATTTATACTCGGATCCTAAGAGTCTGGTGTTATATTATCCGAACATTAATCTGAATTAAGTTTTCTATTTAAACTGTGAAATTTAATATGACAAGTTAGGTAGGTACATATTTGTCATTTAATCATTATTATTAACAGATTCTGGAAAGTTTCGTATACGTACGTTTACGGTTTTTTCGAAATCACKCGTTCTTAAATAAATTATGAAATCTAATTATAAATAATGCAAATTAAAAAATAATTTATTTACCATTTATGCAAGTATGCTGAACATATTTAACGAACACTTGATGGGTAGGGAAGGTGATCAAAGACAAAATCATAAAAATTTTGAGAATCAAAAAATATTTTATTTTTATTTAGAGTACTTCACTCGTTGTATAAAATAAATAATAATAAATGCAACTGTTCGTCCAATAAATCACAAGTATTTTATTAAAAACCTAACTATTAAAAGATACTGTTTAAAGACAAAAATCAGATGATTTATTTTACCATTTAAATATTTTTATTAAAAACTAAATTAAGAATGAAAAACTTTCAAACGCTTAAAGTGTTAATATATTATACTGAAATTACCTTGTATCATATATAATGTATTTTTTTTATTTAAAAATAAATATATTTTTGTTTACAGCTAGTCGTACCCAATCATTGATTATGCAAACTAAACATTTAGCCAGTTAATTTTTCAATTTATTTTAAAGAAAAATTATGAAAATCCTGTTGAAAATAAACGCATCACACATATTTATCTATAATACGCTAAGATACACGCGTACGTATGAAAATTATTTGAAATACATTTGTACATTAAATTTGCGCTTAATTTAATGTCCGGAAGGATTATTTTTAATTTTGAGAATGGGAACGTTCACAAAGTTCCTTCGATTTATTTGAAAGCAATTCTCGTCGTTATAATACGAATGGGACCGTGGACCGTATAGCTAGAACGTTTTGGGAACCGTGGCCTTTTTGAACCCAGATTAAGACCCTAAGGATTATGCCAAAAACCAATGTAATCAATTAATTTGGCTTTTTCAAGCCGATTCACGAGATACAATTTGTTTTTCGGTTTCAAATAGCATMCCACACAATATAATAGTTTAATGATGTACTATGTGTTCAACATAAACTGACATAACTGTATTGCATGAAATGGAAAAATAATAATGATAAATATCAATGCGATTGAAATAGTTGAAACTATTATACACTTACCACTTTCTCGAACCCAGTAATTTATRGATTTTGGGAATGCTTCGACATTACATTCTAACTTGACTTCGGTGCCTTTTGGAGCGCCGACCAATTGACTAGGCGAAGAAATTACTGGATGAACTGTAAAATACAAAATTAATATAATATTATAATAATATATTAGTTCGTTGGGTTTCTCTGTTTTCAAGTTTATTTTTAACAATTGGTAGTGCTAAACAAATTTAAATTTAAATGTATAAATTAATATAAAACAGTGAATGAATACAATTTTAAAATATTTATTTAAATAATCAGACGATGTTTAGTAATTMATACCAATTATTATTAGGTAATCACGATGACGTCACAAATTAAATATCATCGTAACGTGACAATAACAACATTTTTGGTGTGTTATAGGTAATAAAATCGATATATATATATATATATATATATATATATAATTTTAATACAGAACGATTAGTAAGTACCATAAACGAGTAGTATAAAACCATGTGGAGTACCGGACATACGCCCAGACACTGTCGTGTATGTTCCGGCCGTATCATAATATTAATTATTATATCTTACACACATTTTACAATAATAAACTATAATCTTCGGGACGAATCAATTATTCGGCTATGAGGGCATGTCTCTATATTATATAATATGCGATGGTGTTTTAAGACGAATCTCGTAAGTGACGCAATTCCATTATTTTTTCTTTTCGACGATAACGAGTAAACTCTCATTATATATAAGAAAAAATCAAACGGTGTCAAGTCTCAAGATGGCCAAAATTGGCGGCCTTCTCAAGGCTCGTTATTTTTTTTAGACATCTCATATTAATAAMTATACCTTACACGAGATTCGGAATGTTAACATAATACATGGTATCCCGCGAAGATTTACACATTACGATATCTCACGAAATAATGGGGATACCAAAATTCTGGTTTTATAATAAGATTCACAGAGATAAGAACTAAAATTATTTTATTTTAAAGTTTTTGTAAAAAAAGTAAAAAATATATTTTCTTATTTAATTATTTCCAAAAAAATTTAAGATAGCCATTTTGTAGAGTTTATTTTTCTGTAAATATTGACGTTTCAAAATTTTATTTTCATTAATTTTGTGATTTTTAATAGTTTTTAATGTTTTTATAGTTTTGAAGAAATAAAATATGATTATAACTATTAAGAACACTGATAGTATTTGGCCGGCCGTATGGGAATGCGCGAGGCGCGGCTGGTCACATTTTGATAACATTACAGTGTTAAAATAATTCGTAATTTTTCTCGAAACTAAAAA